TCTGCTAGGGGTTGGAAAACTGGAAGAGGCATTGTTTTTCCCTTTTTCACATTTTAGAGGGTGGATTAGATGGCGAAACGGAATTTTATCTAATACAAATTAGTACAAGGACACACTGGCTAGACAATTGCAAGGAAGATGAGCAATAGCGAACTTCAGAAATCAAACAGCATCATACACATAAGACCAGATAGTCGTGACCTCGAACCAATAGCAGAATTGCATCACAAGTTCCACCAAATAAGAACACAGCAAAAGCTCATAATTGACAATGCTGGTATAGTCTCATCATCATCAACGGAGAACCAATGTCGATATCCTATCTGGCGCTCGGCGCCCAAATACAGACGGCAAATCCTATCTAGCCTAATCTACGATGCCGTTGATGACGTCAACAGCTCCCCGAAGTACGAGCAGATCTCAGCCAATGTCGTACACTTCAAGCACGAGGTATGTCTCTCGTATCACTCACAACCTCGTTCCTCAACTCACAGATGCCACATGCACCCAAGAACCACCATGCGCCCCATCCAGCATACAGCAGCGCAGCTCGGCTATGGCTGCCTGCTCCTTCCAGCTCGCCCGTGAGCGCGTGAGCGCTGGCCAGCGACAGCGCAGCAGCGCTTGCGCACAATGCAGCCAGTGCCCGAATGCCGATTGCATGGGCAGGCCCTTTCCTAAATGGAATGGCCTGCCTGCCTCACGTGCAGCCTGGCGGCGCTGGGTCCCTGCCCAGAAGCTTCCGGTAGGCCCAGAGAGGTTGAGCCTCAGTCCAAATGAATCAGGCCCAGGGCCACTGACAGTTACCAGTGCCCAACTGCTCACAGCCTGAGTTGGGCCTATGCTGCGTATCTCACCCAGGGCCTGGCCAGGGCCTGGGCGCCTTCAACCAACTGGCGCTGCGCAACTGCCTGGATTTTTCCCAGTTGCGAAGTAGTCCAAAATAGGCCTCTTGTCGTCTGTCGAACCTGCCTCACTTAGGGCGGCCGACCTGTACCAGATAGGGGCCCCGTAGGGCTTATCGAGGTCTTGTGCCTTGCCTCCTCCATACTTCGCTAGTCCTCGAGAAGTTTAGTCAATCTGGCGCTTTCCTTTCTGCAGTAACTTCTCGTAGTGGGCGACAACCTGTGGAGCAGTCTGCATCAATTCTCCCCATGTAAACCATCTGTCCTCCTTAGGATCAGTGTGATGCCTGAACCTAACGCGATACTGCAGCTTCGGTTTCGGAGGACGTCCCCTGCCGGTCGGTCTTGGAACTGGCATCTCTCTGTGATCCACGATTTCATCAATGTCGACCTCTCCATCCATGGTTGGGGGCAGCATTGAGCATGTGGAAGGGAACTGGTCAGTTTCCTTGAATGGTGCAAGCTTAGAGGCGTGAAAAACAGGGCAAGTGCAAAGGTGTCCAGGGATCCGAATGACATATGAGGGTCCGTCTGGTTCATCCCCAACTACATCCAAAACCTCCCATGGTCCAAAGTACTATGGCATGAGCTTACAGGAAATCCTGTGCTCCTGTCCCAGTTCTGAAGCCTTGACCCAGACCCTGTCCCCTACCTGCAACATAGATGGGCGGCGGTGCTTGTTCTCGGATTCGATCATCGCCGCCTGTGCTTTGTGCATGTGTTCTACTGCCTGCTGCATATGACTCTCATATCTATAAGCGAATTCCAAAGTGCCTGGAGCAGCAGCAGGCTGGTTCTCAGGTAGCAGAAAGTCAAGGGGGAGTCTAGGTTTGAACCTTAGAAGTAGGCCGTTAGGACTTACTCCCGTGTCACTATGAACTGCGTTGTTGTACAAAGTTGGCGATGAGAGCAAGCTTCTCATCCCAGTCCACTCGATTAGGCTTAATGTCGTGCCTTAGCAAGTGTTGAACAGCGCGGTTCATTTGCTCTGCCTGTCCGTTTGCCTCTGAATGGTTTCCAGATGCCATCTGCAGCTGTGTTCCTTGTTCGGCAGCTGCGGCCTTCCACAGTTAACTGGTGAATCGGACATCCCTGTCGCTGATTATAGACTTCGGCAGGCTAAAGTCTCTGACCCAGTTTTCCTTAATAGCTTGATAACGTACTCGGTCTTTGCTATTTCCGGCATGGCCACTAACCTAGCAAACTTACTAAATCTATCCACGATGACGTAGATGTACCTCATGCCACTCTTGCTGGTGACTAGTGTATCCATGAAGTCCATGGACAGGCTTTCACCAGGCCTTTCCGGAATCGGAAGGGGCTTGAGCAGCCCAAGAGGAGCCTGTGTCCGGGGCATGTCACGTTGACAAACTTGACAAGTGTAATGACCCGCCAAAAACACAGACTGAGAACACTGCCGATTTCTGGGATTTGTCACTGGAATGGATGCCTTGTTGTGATTCCCGCATTCTGCTGTGGTTCCAAGTCTGTGTGTGTGCGTGCCTRCTGGTTGCATGCCTGTCTGACTGCTTGCTGGTTGTGTGTGTGTGCGTGCATGCCTGTCTGAGTGCTTGCCGGGGGGTATGTGTGTGYTTGACCCRCAAGGGTACTTGTTGGTTGCAAGGCCCACCGGGCYGGTACTTACCTRTGGYCGTGACTCTGGAGGGTTGCAGGGGGGTAAAACACGCCGGTAGCGGGAGATAGGCCCACGRCACTTAGAGCAGCTGGGGAAAACACTCAAGTAGCAGGTAGGCCGAGCAGAAGAAGACAAAAAGTTGGCATTTTTAGAGGTCCAGTAGCGGTAGGTTGGGGGTAGGCCGGTACCAGTCCAAGTAGCCCGGGTCTAGGGCCTGTGCGGACAATAACARAGCCTGCAATGATGTTTCCCTCCAAAAGGGAGGAGGTACCGGTTGCCTGGGAGGCCGCTTGGCCTGGRAAGTCACCGCCCAGGAGGCCGGTAGGCCACTATATCTTCAGGAAGAGCGGTAGGCTCTTCCTCATTTGCGGTATGCAAGGATTGGCGACATGCTGCTGGAGCGCAGCGCTGGTCTGAGGCAGCGCTGCTKGGAGGTGAAGGTCCGYTGGGGCTCAGCCTGGYTATGGCGAGCACCCYAGCTTGAAGGAGGAAGAAGGGGGACATGGTAGGAGAGTGGTAGGGCACTTACYTGGCTATGGTGGACACYGTCTTCATCACCTTGTTGGGCGCTGYATCTGGAAGGCCCCAGTTGGGGTAGCGCTGCACCAGGGCAGCTCGAGGCAGGGYCAGGCATASCGGACCAAGTCAAGCAGCGGCATAGCTGCTTTGGGTTGTCTTCTGGACATCAGGGCAGCACCATAGCTGCCACCCAGTAGTCCGCCATGGCCTATGCATGAGAGAGGAGGTTGAAGGAGGGAAGACATAGCCATGGTGGACTTGTTGTTGTTGTGAGTTGAGTCAGCAGTAAGGGGGAACTTCGGACATTGATTCTGGTTCATCCATTCATTGTTATTATTATTATTGAGAGAAGAATAAGATTGGTGAAGAGAAGGAGGAAGGCCGAAGGTGGAGAGAGAAGGGGGAATTGTCTTTGGTCTTGCTGGTGTACTTCTTCTTCTTCTTCTTCTTCTTCTTTACCTCTCCTCTGGTCTTTATCTCTTTGCAAGTGCTTTCATTTCTTTTGCAATTGGGTGGCATTGTCT